CGAATAGCAGCAACTTAGCTAATGCCCGTTAGGAAGAGAGACATTTTTAGAAAAAATGGTTTGGATTGCTCGCATTTGGCTAATTCTTGGAAAACTTTGGAAAATATTTTTTATTGTTCGCTTTTGTGTCTTGTGCAAATGCAACTCAGGTAGCAATTCACCAAGCTTGACGATGCGATAATTTGATTTTGCTTTAAACGTAAAGCAGTGAAATTGTTAACAGTACGATTGGCTGCTGCGTTACAGTTTAGTACATGGATTCATGCTGACTATGTTTTATCTGTTCTTTCATGTAAAGGGATCCAGGCTGCAACGCACCGGGCGGGCCCGTGCGATCATGTGTTTTTACAAAGTAAATGTACAATTTCCATTTAACAGTCATTCTTTAAAAGTAACGTAGTTGTTCAGTGAGATATTTTTTTGTCAGAACTTTAAGTGCCCGTATGCAAGAATCACGCATACTTCAAGGCTGAATTTGAAATACTTAAGTTGTACATGGACAAGCAACATTCTCGTAAAATTTCAGCTTTCCAGTTTTTCTGGTTACCGAGTTAGTAATTTTTCCGCCAAAACCTTCACATACCCCTACTTCGGTACTTCACGTGCTTGGAAAGTTGAATTTGAAATTTCTAAATTGCACGTGGTCTGGAAACATCCGCCTAAAAATTCAGCCTTTCAGCTCTTCTGATTGCCGAGTTAGTAATTTTCCTGCAGGACTTTCATGTGCCCTTACGTGAGTACCATGCTTAGCTTGGAGGTGAATTTGAAATATTTGAGTTGTACTTCGATAGGGAACATTACCCCATGATTTCAGCTTCCTAGCTTTCCTGGTACCCGAGTTAGCAATTTTTTCCCTAAAACTTTCATACGCTTTTACTTTAGTATCACGCATATCTGGGGGCTGAATTTGAAATCATTAGCTAGTACATGCACAGGGAATATCCCTACAAACTTTCAGCCTCTTGACCCATATGGTTCCTGAGATCGCTTTCCCATCAAAAAATTTGCATATTTTTTTAAAGCGTCCCTGAGCGGCACCCAAGCGTCCGATGGGGATGAAATTAAAACGGGAGGGTTGTGCAAGCTATGGACGCATACTCCCAAACTTTCAGCCTTCTAGCTTTTCTAGTTCTCGAGTTGAAAGTGGGTGGCAAAAAGTGAGACACAGACACACAGACAGATTCACACACACACACACACACACACACACACAGGCAGCCTCTTCCTAAAAGCACCCGTGGCCCACACACGGGCACGTGGAAATTTTGGCGCGAAAATCACTAGCCCGAAAACGGGAGAAGCTAGAAAGCTGAAACCTTATGGTAACGTTCTTACCCATGTATGACCAAAAGATTTCAAATTCAGCTGCTTAAAACCGCCTGGTACTCACGTATAGGCACGTGAAATTTTGATGGGAAAAATGCTAACGCGGGAGCGGGGAAATCTGAACGATTTAATTTTAGAGGAATGTTCCCTACTCGTATGCGATTAAAAGATTTCACATTCAACTCTTCTAATGGGGTCTTTTTCGCGCACCAGCAACTTTCTATTTGTCGGGTCACTAAAGCCGACATCTACAACTGACATGCCACATAGCTGCACAACTTTCCACAACAACTTTCCAAACTTCGTAGGCCAGTATTACACAAGGCTAGCTACTGCAATTACTTGCAGTTCCTTGCGATCTTGCTATGGCACGAAAAATGCAAAAACGCATGATCGCACCGGCCCACCTGGTGCTTCCCAGCTTGGGTTTGAATGAAGCCCGATCGTTTTTCTGGTAAATACTCGTTCTTCGAAGAAATGCAAATTTCCAGTTCAATAAAAAATGGAAATGTTGCTAGAGCGGTCGCCCGTCAAACCCAGGTTGAAACGCACCAGGCGAGCAGGAGCGATCATGCGTTTTTGCACAAAACTTGAATTGGGTTAACTGCATGAACGGTTGTTTCTCTAC